CAATCAAACCGCGATATGGACTAGTGTATGTGAATGTTAAATGGCAAAAATACTATTTAGCTACTACAGACGACAACCGCGAGCGTTGCAGGTGCTTAAATAGCAAACGAAACGCGCGTCTGCGCCATTCATTCTGTCACGTTCAACGCGGATGCACAGACGGTTGTCGTGGTAATGAACACCACAGCAACCACTTGTGCGTCCCCACTGAACGCGCATCTCGCATATAAAAAGCATTTTAGGGGGCCCTTGGCTTTTGGGGGCCCAAGGCGGTCGCCTACCTTTGCCTAATGGTTAAGTCCGCCTCTGGGGAGTGCTAGTGGGACCGTGGAAAAGTTTATGTTTGTCTTTTTTATATTTGTATTATTTCACAATGCATATCTATATAACATACCATAATTCAAACCAGGTGGAGATTTTGTCTGGAAAGGATAAAGGAAAGCAGGGCAAAGTTGCTCAGGTGTTTCGGCGGCGATCCTGGGTCATACTCGAGGGCCTCAACACAGTAGGAGTAAAACTAGTACGATTCTTACAGTTATTATTTCATTGCAAAATAGCACTTTTAATTGTTTCAAACACTTTCTTCCAGCATTACAGGTATATTGGCAGATCTGGAGATTACCGGGGTACTTACATTGCCAGTGAAGCTCCTCTGCTGCTGAAGGATGTTACATTAATTGACCCTACTGACAGGTGAGCATCAAACATGAAATAGAGTAATAAATACAGTAGAACGCAATGTACCCAGCTCTTAATGTATGTATCTGTGTCTAATGTTTCTTAGGAAGCCCACAGATACCGAGTGGAGATACACTGAAGAGGGCGAGCGCGTACGTGTTTCTGTCAGGACAGGACGGATTATTCCCAAACCAGTCTATCAGAGAAGAGATGGCATCATTCCCCAGCAGTGGAAAGGTGGGGTTTCCAAAAGTTTAAAAACAATGCATTTCTACCTAGAGTATTAGACATTCAGATATTTAAATATGGCTCAGTTATCAGAAATCTGAGAGTGTTTATGTACCTTGCAGATGGACCCAAAGACACATCACCAGAAGACACGCTTCAGAAAACATTCACTCCATCTTTGAAAACCCTAGAGGAAGAAGTTATGGAGAAAATGCACATTCAGGAAGATAGAAGGCCTCGTAAAAGCTACTGGTACTGAGTTACCACAGAGACTGTGTATTATGTTTCAGCATGACAACATTAGCAAGATTATTTATCATGGAGAAAAATTGTATGTGTTCTGCAGACTTTATTAATAAACCCAACCAAATGTTATGCTCGGTTTCCTTGCTTTTATGCCACAAACACATGCTACCAGCTGAAACGCATGGTTTATTTTCTGTACAAATGTACATCACCATTCAAAAGGTTAGGCTCAGTAAGATTTTTCTTTAAGGAAATTAATACTTTCATTCAGCAAGGATGTGTTAAATTGATTAAAAAGAAGACATTTGTAATGTTACAAATGATTTCCATTTCAAATCAATGCTGTTTATTTGAACTCTCTGTTCATCAAAGAATCCTGAAGAAACGAATGACGGTTTCCACACCGATATGAAGCAGCACAACTGTTTTCAACAATCATATGAAATATTTCTTGAGCAGCAAATCAGCATATCAGATCATGTGAGTAACGATGCTGAAAATGTATATATTTAAACAAATATTTTACAACATCACTGTATTTCTGATCAAATTAGTGTAGCCTTGGTGAGCATATGTCTGTTTTATCTGTCCATCTCTTGAACAATTCCCAATGTCTTTATGGTGAAATATCATGCAAATACATTATGTAGGATAGGGGTTAGATATAGAGCTATGGGTCAATTATGGTTTTGCAAGACTATCACATATAATAACATTGAGTTTATTTGTTGTTGTTGTTGTTTTTCCAGTTTATTCATTGATTGATTGATTTATTGTCACGGTTTGGTCTTGTTTATTGATGACATTCCAGTCCAGCTGGTGTCAGTGTTGCTGAGTCCTCTGAAGCGGTGCAGCGGATGTACTTCACGATGGTGGAAGAAAACTATGTTTATGGGTCTAAATGGTTGGCGAGGAACGATTTATGATTATAAACATTTATCACTTGTTTGTTTAGACTAATATAGCCATGTGCTGTTCGCGTTTTGCAGGGAAATATTCTTTTAAAAAGCATGCACGGCTCCTACTGCAAGCGTTGAATTTGGCATCGATGTTGTGATCTTAGATTTTTTAAGATATTTACAGACAGCATTTGTCCATATAAACCTGGGAGTACGGGAGGATATGAGATCAGTGGAGCTGCTTTGGTTAAAGTAATGCAAAAGCAGCAAGTCAGCGATTCTTGTGTGTGATAACGCTCTTCTGATCTGATCTGATCGGTGGAGATGTCTCTGGTAGCGTACGACAGCAGCGACGACAGTGAACGCGATGAGTCGCCGGGGTCGCCTGCTCGACCTGCGGCCAAGATCGGCGGACTTTTCGCAGCTCTGCCCTCCCCGAGAACCGCAGATCAGACATCAGCTCCTCAACCTAAGAGGATGACTTTGGATCTGCCCAAACCCAAAAAACGCACAGAACCCGTTAAAATCACCGTTCCTGAAATAAAACCAGCAGATGTGAGTTTTACTGATCCGTTAATGCCAATCGTTTTACTGAAGCTCTTTCTGATTGATGGTGTTTTTCTGCTCTAGTCTGACTCTGATGAGGACGAGCCCGTCCGAAAGAAACCAGCTCCTCAGGTATGGATCCAAAAATATTGGAGAAGGCTTGTCTTTTTTTTCTTCTTCTTTTTTTGAAATGTTGGGGGAAAATGCATACTTTTAAGCATGAGACTAAACCTTATTCATTCAACCGAATAATGTCACTTATTCATTCATCCGTTTTTTTTTACCTTATTAAATGTATGCTTCATCTTTCAAGTCAAATTCTTACAATTGATCAAGAAATGTAATACACTACAGGGCTGTTACCAATCAAATTAAATAATTACAAAATTACAACAGCAATAAATAATGTTATGGGATTAATATTGTAAATACAATTTTGAACATACAAATAAAAAATGTTGGGGGAAAATGCATACTTTTAAGCATGAGACTAAACCTTATTCATTCAACCGAATAATGTCACTTATTCATTCATCCGATTCCTTCAAACCTCTGAATTATTCAGTAACAAAAATGCCGGGTGTGGCTTGGAGAATATGCGCAATAATTCTGTTCTGATCTTTGTTTGGAACTATTTTCGTTGGTGAAATAGAACAAAACAGTCAATTGTGTCTAAAAATGTAAGTAACTTCATATACTTTACTACTTGTTTGTTGAACTAAAATCAATGTAACATTTGCAATCGTGAAAATATTCAGCAAAATAGATCCCTTGTCATGGTATGTTACTTGACTATATCATGCTATAAATAAACTAAACATTTTGAATTTTTACCTATGTTTGTTCTGTGAGTTTTTTTATGTGTGCCGTACGCTCATTTGATTTCTCCATGAAAGTCTCTCACAGAGACAGGCAGCACGAGCCTCAACAGCGTGACATTGATAATACAAATATACTATCAATTATCAATCACTGTTTAAGCTGAATGTAATAAAATCAGAAGAATCATTCGCACGTTTTGATGCATGATTATTTTTTGTCACTTAAGTTTTAATCAGGCTATTAGTCCTGTCGGGCGAGTACAATTCTCAAGCCATTTTTCAGTAAACTTGCATTAACCCATTTAAAGTAGTTCGGAGGCTGGACAGCAAGCTGGTGTTCGACTGTATTCTGTAACCGCAATTCTCTCTAATGACGCGGTAACTACAGCCGGGGGGAAAAGAGAACTCTTGATGGACACTCACTGGGTCCGTTAAGACTGGAGACATTTTTGTGGTAATGTGACCAAAAATATTTAAGACTGAATATTTAAATCTGATTTTAAGACTTTTTAAGGACCCGCGGCCACCCTGACAAATATACTAATGTAAACAAGAATACTAATAATAAATTTCACCCTTTTAAGATTCTGAGTTGACAGAATTTATACTTCCCTTACCAGTCTAAGAAATTGTCTGCAAACAATCTCTTTAGTGAGCGAGTACTGAATTGAAGTGTGCATGGCAACTTCAAGCTGAGTTTTCTTCAGGAATTCAACAGTCTGCACCAAGAACACAAAGACAACATGAAGCAGCTCATGTGGAAACAATACCAAAATATAAAACATGTAATTTTGTAGTCAAACACACAATAGGTTGGATGGATATATTACTGTTTTATAGTCCAAAACACACAAGAACTCACTAGCTGTCCTGTTCGGGTCTGGACTCTGTCCTCTGGCCGTCCCTCCCGAAGAAGCTACAGGAAAAAACAAAGCAAACCGTGAACACTTGAAATTATGTTAATGATGCTGAAGTTCACCCACAAATTTACATTTGCTTAAAATGTACTCAGCCTCGGGCCATCCAAGATGTAGATGAGTTTGTTTCTTCATCAGAACAGATTTGGAGAAATGTAGATTTAGCACTGTAAACAGTGCTTGATGTGTGCAGATTTCTCCCCTGATTCAGACGAGCAGTACTATGGACAAAGGACTTGTATTTTAGCAACTGTTTGAAGTTTAAAAAGTCTTAATGGTGGTTTTGCTTCTTACAGGGTTCGTACACATTTTTACCAATACATTTCCATGACTTTTGAGACAATATTCATGACCTAAATGTTCCATTATTTTACAATAAGAATAAAAATCTGTTCAAATTATCATAGCATATGTTAACTAAAATGAATGATTATTAATGCTACTCGTTTGCTTTCTTGTTTTAGTAATAAGTACAAGCTGCAACTGCGCCAGACCTTACTCCACATTTCACATCACTGAATATTATCATTTATTTAACTGTGTGGCCAGGGTGGCCATTTTGGTGTCATTTTGTGTGTACGATATAGCCTATGCGCAATCCCGCACCGAAATTCACGACCCGATTAAACACAATTCTATTATACAGAGTTTTGTGAAATAGATTTCAATGACTTTTCCAAAACTTTCTGGGTTTATTTATTTTTCCAAAACTTTTCCAGGCCTGGAAATTGGTGTTTTAAAATTCCATGACTTTTCCAGGTTTTTCATGACCGTACGAACCCTGTTCTTAAAACATGCAGCTTTTCCCTTCACAAGTCATTGATTGATGGACTGGAGTCGTGTGGATTACTTGTGGATTATTGTGATGTTTTTATCAGCTGTTTGGACTCTCATTCTGACGGCACCCATTCACTGCAGAGGATCCACTGGTGAGCAAGTGATGCAATGTTACATTTCTACAAATCTGTTAAGAAACAAACTCATCCACATCTTGGATGGCCTGAGGCAGTGGCGAAGCTACAGTTAGGCCCAGGTGGGCATGAGCCCACCCAATTAAAAATTGGTAATTTTCCAAATGGATGTAATTAATTAAACAACAATAATAATAAATATCTCATTTCACTATAACTTTTTAGATTTAGTTTAAAATGATATTAAACGTGAGTTTTCATACAGGCAGTTTCTTAATTTTCAATCTTGTTCGTAATGTTTTTACGACGCAAGGACATAATAGTAAAATGCGCACGTTTGTGGAATTTGAAAATAGAAAAACAAATATCAATCAGTCCTTTAAAAAGTATACACTGGATATCCCAATTGAATTTATAGATTGGAAACTTCTGAGCCAAGCTTATTTGAAGCTCATATTAGCATAGGTACAGTGTTTGATCCACTTAATAGATGAGTCCTTTGTGGAAAGAAACACATAAACATTGTACTTGACCCCGTAATGCTTTAGTTGACGTAAGTTAATGCATTAGCTAACATTAACAACGAGCAATGCATTTGTTATAATATTTATTCATATTTGTTGATGTTACTTAATAGAAATATGACTGTTCATTGTTGTTTGTATTAGCTCAGGTATGATTATTAACAGTTAATTTATTAGTAAACGCTGAAATTAACATTAATGTTAATAAATGTTTTAGAAGTATTGTGTATTGAACCTTTGTGCTGTATTTTCTGTTGGCAATTTGACATGCAGTTTTCATACTCTATATTTTGCCCACCCAATTTTATGTAGGCACACCCACTTAATCATTCCTGGCCCCTGCCCCGAGTACATTTTCATGACAAACATTTTATGGCAATTGATTTGTAGATTTAACTAACCTACAAAAAGTCGTGGGAAGTCGTGGCCTAATGGTTAGAGCTCGGACTCATAACCCAAAAGCTGTGGGTTCGAGTCTCGTACCGGCAGGGATTGTAGGTGGGGGGAGTGAATGTACAGCACTCTCTCCCACCTTCAATACCCCGACTGAGGTGCCCTTGAGCAAGGCACCGAACCCCCAACTGCTCCCCGGGCGCCGCAACATAAATGGCTGCCCACTGCTCCGGGTGTGTGTTCACGGTGTGTGTGTGTGTGTTCACTGCTGTGTGTGTGCACTTTGGATGGGTAAATGCAGAGCACTAATTCCGAGTATGGGTCACCATACTTGGCCACATGTCACTTCACTAACCCTTATTTCCTCTGCAAACATGCCTTTATTCTCCTGTGAAGGATAGACAGCCAGACCTTGGGGTAGCAGTTTGTTGCGGCCCAGTGGTTTTTTCACAAAAACTGTGTCACCTCGTCCACCGAGCTCTGTAAAATAAATATTACGTCAAAATCCCAGTTTTTAAATCATACTTAAAGGTGCAGTAAGTGATTTCTGAGAAACGCTGTTGAAAGTGGATCGGACCGAGCACCAAAACACACGTGTAGCCAATCACCAGTAAGGGGCGTGTCCAGTAGTGATGGGGGGAGGTGCCTGTGTTGAATAGCATGTTCAGAAATTTGGGGGCGGAGGCAAGATAGGGGTGTGATTGTCACCAGTAAGGGGCGTGTCCAGTAGTGATGGGGGGAGGTGCCTGTGTGGAATAGCATGTTCAGAAATTTGGGGGCGGAGGCAAGATAGGGGTGTGATTCTTTTTTGGTAGGGGCATGTTTGTTTTGGTGATTTCAAATATCAACAGCATTTCTCAGAAATCGCTTACTGCTGCTTTAACACGTTTTCTTAAGGCAAGAGCACCCACTGGGCACCGTCTGGGTGAGGATGAGCTCCATTTTGTCCTGGGGTTTGTGTTTTGTGTCCTCAAACAAGCGGTACACTCTGTGTCGTCGGGGATGTAGTCTGGGTGGCTTTCCCTCTTTTGATAAAGGAACCTTCCAACAGCGTTCAACAATAGCTGTATTCTGGAATGAGATTAAATCAAGAAATCAATCTAAAGATGTAGATGCATTTTCATCTCAAATCCAGCCCCAAAGCCATTTCAGTGGAGCCAAATACTCATTCTGTATTAAATGTGTGCATGCATGAACTACAGATCATCTGTGTCAACTCATCAAACATAAAGAGTTTATAAAAATAATCTTATTTGGCACTGGGCAAGACGTCGTCACAATAACAATAACGCTAGTCAGAAATCATGTATTCTGAACTGTAAACAGCACTATGATATCTGCCATTGCGTTGTTGATCTAGATCAGTTGTTTTCCTGCCGCTTACCTTGCATGCTGTTTGAGACAGATTCTGTATTCGACTCCAGCATGATTTCAGATTTGTAAGATTCCAGCAGCTTTGAAGGACAAACCTTGATGATGCGACCGCCCACATGATTGATATAGACTTTACGGTTGAAAATGAATGAATTTAATTATTTGGAAATATGAATCATCGCCACCAACCGTAGCATAGCATAAAAAATCTATCAAAATTCACATGTATTTCCGCACTAACTGTCACAAACTATCATTGCACTCCATAACCACATGAAAAGCAATGGATGGGATGTTAAAGGACCCCTAGAAGGGTAGCTGTTTATTTTGCCTGACAAAAATATCAGAACGTCAATTTGTTTAACGAGTCGAATTTGTACACACTTTAATACACCAATATAGTACAACACGCTTGTTTTCCAAATTGTTGTATGACATTATAAGCAAATATTTATAACGGTAATCATATAACTAGATACCTAGATACCCAAGTACTCGAAACTCGGTTTCAAAATAAAAGACCTTGCTCAATAAAAGTCTCTTCTAAGCCGGATACATGTATTTACTGTGAAACATATTGGACCTAGTTATGTTTTTCTGATATTTAATCTTCATGGACTCCAACCCGTGGAATGGGTAAGTTTAAAATTGCTTTATTGATTTGTAAAGAATATAAATCAACAAAAAAATTGGCTAAGCATCAAAATCTTATAAAACATGTAAAATGGCAGATTACTCATACAAAACAAATAGAGAATGTATAAACTGTATTCACATGCACTGTTTCAATTTCACTACCTTAAGTATTATTTGAAAAATAATTTTGGTAAACAAGAGTGTAAAAAAACAGCAGGGAAAAGGCCCAACAAATTAGTATAAAATTATATGCAATGCAGTTTACATTTCAATACACATCAGTGGCAAATGATGGAATCATATGACGCAATACAAACAAATACAAACAATAAAAGTCTTGTAAAAATTACATTGAGAGAACACTCAGAAATTCTTTTCAGAAACGTGATAAATACACTGAAAATCAAACTACACTGTTAGTAATGGCCGTCTTTAAAAAATGTTTCACAAAATACATGGTTTCAAATGAATAAATAACAATTTGTAGTGATCTTGCATATTATGAAAGTTTAAAGAAAGGAGGCTTTAGATTATCAGTGACATCTCTATTTTGACCGTCTCTGTGGGTGCATAGTTTATTGAAATAAACTATTTCTTTTGTCATGTAAAGAACTGTAATACCGTCTGTCTATATAACTATTTTTATAATACCAGCCTATAAACTACCAGGGCTTTAATTGAATTATTAAGACAGTTCTGCTGTTAAACTGTGATGTTTAAGACCACAATTGCACCACAACAATGGAAAACAAGAGATTACAATTAACCCTTAAAAGTACATTTTCAGATCTGTCTGGCCAATGACAATCATTGTTGTTTCTCACCATGCACATCCTACTTTAAGCATCGTGATGAGCTTTAAAAAAAAAAGAGCTTTAAAATTCAGTTCAAAGAGAAAGCAGAGATACCTCGGCATGTCTCCTTATCTAAAATGATCTGAAAGGTAACTGACATGACATGACACTGAAACAAGTGACCGGGATAAAACATTAACAATCAAGTTTACAACATCACTTCACACAGTAACGCATTATAATGGATAGATTTATAGATCCGTTATAATGCAGTAATTTATGATGATGGAATAAGAATGCGATTACATTTTAAAATATTGTATATTTTAGCATAGTACAGGCTATAAGGACCATTTTGAGTTGGGAAACAACAAGTGTGTCTATAAGACGCAGTATATGTATTTTTTCTTGTTGCACTGAATCAAGCATCCTATTGCAAAGCATTGCTTATCTTGAAGTACTAGTTCTCTCAAAAATGCTAATTTGCTGAGAATTGATTCACCCTCAGGTCACCCAAGATATAGATGAACTTATTTCTTCATCAGAACAGATTTAGAGAAATGTAGCATTACATCACTTGCTCACTAATGCAGTGAATGGGTGCCGTCAGAATGAGAGTCCAAACAGCTGATAAAAACATCACAATAATCCACAATTAATCCAGTCCATTAGTTAACCTCGTGTGAAGTGAAAAACTGCACGTTTGTAAGAAACAAATCCATCATTAAGGAGATTTAACTTTAAAAATGTTGCTTCTGACCAAAATACAGGTCCATAATTCATAATCACACTTCCTCCAGTACAAAAAATTCCATCTCCTGTTGTCCTCTCGTATCAAAATCCACTGACATATTTGTTTTGAACAGTTTTGGACTGTTATTGCTTGTAAACTGTGCTCGACTTGTGCATATTTCTCTCCTGATTCAGACGAGACAATTTTTTCACTGGAGAAACCAATATTATGGACATTGTGGATTACCGTGATGTTTTATCAGCTGTTTGGACTCTCATTCTGACGGCACCCATTCACTGCAGAGGATCCATTGCTGAGCAAGTGATGTAATGCTAAATTTCTCCAAATCTGTTCTGATGAAGAAACAAACTCATCTTCATCTTGGATGGCCTGAGAGTGAGTACATTTTCAGCAAATGTTCATTTTTTTAGTGAACTTTTACTTTAACACGCATCCCATCCGCACTTGTGTGCATATATGCTGCTAATAAATGTTCACAAAAGCTTTCAGAGAGGAGGTAGAAATAAAATGTTGCCTTGAATGTGCATGATTGCTCTACAATCACAAAAGTAACAGAAGGCAATATAATGAGGGCACAGATTCAGTTTTTCTATGTCAGAAGGCTGGAGGAAATGGCCTTGCTAGGTTTCCTGTGCCAGGATTTCTCACCAATGACAGTGTGTGAGAAAATCTGACCTTTGTTTTATGAAAACAGTTTGTGGTTGCTTCCTTATCAAACATCTATGCTAAGGCCATTGGCTCTTGTGGAAAAGTTGAGTTAACTTAAAAGTATTGTATAAATGTGTGTTTACATAAACATACTTAAGATTAACATTACAAAGCAAAGGTTTGTATATTCCCCAAAAGCACATGTGTAGCAAATAAATGAGCAAGGCTATTATGTGAATGAAAATGCAGAATATTGATACAATATTGCCGTGATCAACCTGTACTGTATAAAGCACTATATAAATAAAGGTGACTTGACCACACAACTGTATCTCCTAAGAAAAGCAAATAGGCAGTGATTTGGCGAATTCGCTAAAATGTAACGCCCACGTGTAATAGGATTCATGAGTAGTACAATGCAAACAAGGCCTCAAAATCTGATTTTCCCGACATAGTAGGTCCATGTGCCAGTACAGTCAACCGATAACACTGGAGGATAATACTGGTATAGTAATAATAGCAATATAGCGCTTAATTCTGTTTAAAATGGCTTACATGTTCAGATCAAAAAGAAAGAAACGTATAATTCATCACCATTTTTGTCTGTGAAATTAAACTCCTCCCACACAAACACAAGTTAAAAAAGACTGTTTGGAGTTTTGGAGTGCTATCTGGTACAATCATACGCCACGTGTGACACGTCTTCATACTCTTCAGCATGTGCAGGGCAGAGTTGTAGTGTTTGACCCAGCTAGCTGCCCCACTGCCATGAGCAGAATGTCTTTCTTTTCCTTATAAAAGCGCAGCTCCCGTCCTGCCAGACGGGCCTCTTCCAGCTCGCGCTCGGTGGCGGCCATCTCTCGATTGATTGTACCGGATAAAGTGTGTTCTCGACTGACCCAGTCGGCGGCCATTTGTGTACGCATGTCATCGTCTAGCGCTCGGTGGGAGTAATGAGCAAGCACTTCCTGTTTATAAAAAAGGCTGATTGTTATACACACCATAGACAGGTCAGCGAAACATATTAATGGGCCAAATAAATATTTACAAGAAACGAATGAGGGAATAAGAAAAAAAAGAAAAATAAATATATATATATATTAAATGATTTTTTTTTGTCAAAATGCAATCATATTTTAGTTTTTATTAAAATTTTTGCCAGTGATATTTTACTATCACTGAGATACTATTATAGTTATTTTAGTAATATTTTGAATTCATTTTAGTTTTATATTTTCCATTTTCATTTTCCAAGTTTTCATAGTCATTTTTATTCGTTTTTTTAATATGTCTATATTGTTTATATTGTATATCAAGTTATACTAAATAAAATTATAAATGTCACCTTGGAAACTAGCTTTTTTATTTGTATATTTGATTTATTTTGTATATTTTAGTAAACATTTATTTTATTTCAAGAAAATTTTGCAGCATCTCTCTGACCCTAAATCTGTCAGGAACAGTATAAAGTTTGGTGGACTTTCCTTCCTTTTACTTTGCTTTACTTTTCTAGTATTAGAAATAATAGTTTCTATGCTACTTCTTTCTTTTTATTTCACTGTGACTGAGTCGGCCAAGTTTCTGTACTCAAAACAGTTGGTGACATGTAAATGTGGGCGATCATGTCAGAATAGTGTTAATAAACTGTATTTTTGGAGTGAGGAGGAAGTTTTGAGATTTGCTGTAAACAAGTTACAGCACACAGCGCAGTAAATTATTTTATTTTAAAAGATGAAGGTACATATGACTACTCACGATATTACTCTTTTAAGTACTACTGAAAATTGAATATTTGCCTTCACCTGACGAGAGCATTGCCTTTCTCTCATGGCTTTGAGACTACCATTCCAATGGAGAAGCTGGAAAACCGTCATCAGTTCCTGAGAAAAAAGTTACAATTAAAATCCACATGTAAAGTTAACCACAACTTTTCATATAGTCCAATAATGATCTCATTTACCTGGAACTCTAGCATAGATTTCCCCTTGTTAGACTCTAACATGAACCGAAAAGCACCGATGCCTGTACTAGGATTATCAGCTTCTTCTCTGTTTCCCTGCAGTAAATAAAGATGAGTAAAGTTCAACAATGTCAACAATACACTTTTGTCCAAAGGTTCTGGGTTTTATTTGAAAGAAATTTGTACTTTCATTCAGCAGGGATGCATTAAACTGTTCAAAAAAGACAACAAAGACATTTATAATGTTTCAAAATGCTGTTTAAAGAATCCTGAAAAAATGTATGAGAATAATAATAACTTTTTCTTGAGCGAATTAGCATATTATAATGATTTCTGAAGGATCATGTGACACTGAAGACTGGAGTAATGAAGCTGAAAATTCAGCTTTGCCATCATAAAAATTACATTTTTAAATATATTAATATATTTAAAATATATTATTATTGTAATAACATTTCACAATATTACAGTTTTTTGCATTTTGATCAAATAAATGCAACCTTGTTGA